GGAAGAAGTCTAGCAATATTTTCCAAAACATCGTCATTGAGGAATGTCTTAAATGGGCAAATAACTCCTTCCGACTGCTCCGAGAGACATGCGTCAAGTAAGATTGCGTCGTATACAGCCCCTGGAATAAGCACTTACACATCCTTTGACTTTGCTTCGCTTTCTTTCAGTGTAGGAATTTAGAAATATTATTCGACGTTTTTAATTTTCAACAAAAGTAGTGAAAGTAATGGAAAGTCGGGTATTAGAGGTACATGGATTGAGTCAATATATGTTTATTCTGTGTTCTGTACTATCTACAATACCGCTCATAACTTTTGCAAAGGATACGTGATATCACATAAAAATCCGTCGCAAACGTCGCATCGTCATAACTTCTTTTAAAATAGAGATTTTTTAAATGTAAAAGCGGTGTTAGACTCAGCTTATTCAGACGAACCTTAGGTTATGCCACACTACAGTACCCGTGAGAAGTACGGTAGATGCGGTAGGAAGTCAACACCGCGAATCCGTCTGAAGCTTTGCGTGGGAGTGTCATGTAACTACCTCTACGCAAAGTTTCAGACGGATTCGCGATGTTGACTTCCTACTGTATCTACCGTACACCTTAGGTGTTACTGTAGTGTGGCATAACCTAAGGTTCGTCTGAATAAGCTGAGTCTAACACTGCTTTTACTTCTAAAAAATTTCTATTCTGAAAGAAATTATGACAATGCGACGCTTGCGACGGATTTTTATGTAAAATCTCGTTTCTTTTGCAAAAGTTATGAGCGGTATTGTATTTGATGGGTTGATATATAGAGTTGAGTTTACTACTTCTACTGCTAAAGTTATAGAACAAGGTGCAGAATGATAAAATAAGACTAGTATGAACATTACCTAACGCGGCCTCCTTCGCTAAGAACGCAACGCCATCGGCGGTTACAACACGATGATGATCATCTTCTATCAAACCAAACCATTTTCTAGCCATATTCACCATCTGACGGCTGACTTCCACTACGGTTATATTCATCTGTTGAAGTAACACTTGTTAATAGCAAAACTAGTTACGAATAGGATCAGATCGAAAACCTTTGGGAAGACATGGTGCAAAAAGCCATTAACCGTACCACCTCCAAGGCCAATCGAAAGTATTTTAGCATCACTGCCCTGGGAGAGTTTGATAAGATCACTGCGGAATATCGCTTCTGGAATGACTTCTCATCTTTAGATTTGAGCAGGAATGTGTCCTTTTTAAGCAATTACCAATCATCAGAATGTAGTAGGTACTTTGGGAGAGATGGGTTCTGTCAAACTTCCACTTCGATGTATCGATACTATCATTTGTCAGTTCTGAAACGTTACTTTGTCAAAAGAAAGATGTTAACTTTTTGAACAGCAGGCATATTGCATATAATTTTGTTGCTAGGTTCAGAAAAGTAGTACTTTGCGAAAATCATCCAAATTAGAAGAGATTTAAGAAATCCGCGTAGCTGAGTTGAACGCAGGGTAAAGCGAGGAGGAGAGTTGAAAGTCTCAACGAGAATTATTGTCGAAAGTAAATGACTTTAAGAGTTGTCACGAAAATGTTGGGACACTAGCACAAAAAAAAATAGTTTGTAGTTTGCTCCATCGGAAAAAAGTGCGTAAGTGCTTTGAATATGGATATGAAAACGATATGAAAACCATATAATACTCACAGAGCGTGTCTTGATCCTTCTGCAATTATGGGCAATTAATTACTCTAAGCTATAGCCCCTTTCATGCATCTTCCAAGCACCAGCACATGGCAGGTCAGCAGGTCCAATCTACGTCTGTGGGTAATAGTATGGAGGAGTGTTTGAGGTCTTGCTTTCTGTTGGTGGGGTACTCACGATTTTACCGCCTTTAACAAGTAACAAAAAGGGCAAATTGGAGAAAAAATACGATATTTATTGTGAACCAACAAGATCCCTTAATATAAGCTGTTTTAGTACGACGGGCCTCGTCACTTGACTCTTCATTTGAGCAAATTTTTTTGAAATTCAGCACTTAAAACTGGAGCATTTGAGCTATTGCTACCCTATTTCCATTCATGAATCAGCTTCTAAATAGTCTATCAATATGTTACAAGCACTATACTTAGCTCAGACATAACAAAGTTAATTATTTATTTTTGAACAAAATATAGTTTTGTAGGAGGCCTCACT